TATATACAGTATATATATATATATATATATATATATATATATGTGTGTGTGTCTTGAGTCATTTTGGTTCCCAAATTAATGTGTCTTGATTTAAAAAATGTTTATATATTTGTACTGGAAAACAAGGTAAGAGGAAGAACATCACTTTTTGCAGTGTGTATAAAGCGTGTGAGTATGCATGTTATAAAACTCAAATCGAAGATTATAACTGAACATCCAGAACATAACTGAACAAAAGTGCTGTATAAGTTCTTACCAGTTTGGCAAAAGAAGTATTTTAGTTCAGTACAGGATATGTCACTCCATTGTCCGTATTCACTTACAGTTGCACAGGCCTCATGTGTTTTGAGCAAGTTCGGCTCCTGGTTACCCCACTTCGCGTAGCTTATAATCGTGTTTTGATGCGACCAAAGCCAAAAAACTTTGTAGAAGCCGATCCAGGCGACAGATCTGAAGCTCACAGCGTTTGCTGCCTCCTTTAGTTTGGCTCTGTCTTCATCGCTCTGAACCGTCGCCAGATCCGTGTGTTTCTCCCTGCAGTACGATTGCGCTTCTGCCCAGGTCTTCGGCTCTCCAATCAGGACGAATCGACATGGGTCACATGAAGCCTTCGACAGGATTCCTGCTGCAGGAACATCAACACTGTTATGTTTCTCTAAACCTCTGATCTGACGTCAGTTTCTTTCACTGACACTCACCGAGCAAAACAACGAGTTGAATCTTGTTCTGCATCATCTCGTCTTCACAGGTTTGTTCACTGAAAGAAATCAATCACAAGAATACGACATGTTGCTTAGTTCTGTGCTATTGAAAGTCCAGTCAGTTTCTTCTATAATCAGGGTTTTTAAACACTTTCAGGCATTGAAACAAAGCATTTAATGACTAAATCCAATTTTAGCAGCAAAAGTGTTTTTAATGATCAGGTTTTGTTCATGTCATTCCAGTGTTTTTGTCAATCTGAAATGCATGTCTTTTTTTTTTTTTAATTCAACATCTTACATTAATAATATAAAGAAACAGTATTTAATTAAAAATGCAACGTAGTAATGCAGAAAAATAATACTCCCACACCTTTAGATTAAAGTTGATCACAACAAAACAAATCTACTTGCTCTGGACCGATATTCTCACCAGTACATTAACTTTCTTCTCTCAACATATTCCCTTTACTTGTCTTTTACTATCTACCCAACTCTTTATACATTACGTTATGCAAAACATTGTCAGTACTGTACGTAAGACACTGACACTAATTACTGATTTACATTCTGATTTTGCTGAAGTATGAGGCTATTTATTCAAATACTGAAGCATCAGAGAGCATGAAAACATCACAGAAGTGGTTTTTCACAATTATAAAACAAGTATGGCACAAATTAATGTAATTATTAACCTGTATTTAACCTCTTTTACACGACTATCCCGACACAATACATGAAAACAACTCAATATTTAACATCACAGTCAATAATTATTTTTGCTGTCAGATAAACCATCTAAAGTGACCTTACATGACTAATGAATCATTGAACTTAGGGATGTCCCGAGTCGATCTCAAGGATAGGCCATATTCATCAGGCCATATACATCAGGGCCAATTATGCTTTTTTAAAATCTGATCTGTGTCGGCTATCCTGAGCCCGATCCACAGGATCGCTCATTGCAAATTCTATGGCGTTTTACTAGCATTACAGTTTCCATAAATGTTATGTATGTTGAATTAATTATTCATGTAACCAGTGTTTAAATCATTGCCTGCTTCAAAATGAATGCTGTAAACGAAATAATTTGAAACATTTGCAGGTATAGCCTACTGTATGAATAAAAACACTATTACATGAACAGATCTGAATAACTGTACAAGGCGAATTAAGGTATCTTTAATTCAGATTTCAGAATGAGCACTTTGTCATACACATGCTGAGGATCTCATCCGTCCTCTACTGTAATGAATATGATACGTCACTTCTTAATAAGCAGGGGAAATTCCTGACATTTAACAAATAACCATTGTTGACCTTAGTGCTGTACAAATAAGATGAAAACAATGAGAAAAGATAATATCAGTAAGATGTACAGGGATTCTTCAGATATAAAAACGCCGACTCGTTAGGTGATGTTTTCTCAATAGAATGTAACAGAATATTATGCGGCGCAGTGGCTTCACTTTTGTGACGTCATGAGCAATCCAGTTCTCTATTATAGATCAGTGGTCCGATCCTTATTTTACGTAATGCCGGTGTCGTGCAGTAGGTGGCAGTATGCACCTTCCAGTAGATTTGCCAACCGACATTAAAAGGCTCAAATGTGTGTTCATTGATTGTGATTGTGATGTGTGGCCAAGTATCCCTGCTGGAACCTAGATCTAGACCTATGACCTTTGGGTTGCAAGTCCGACTCTCGAACCATTAGGCCACGACTGCCCCGTCATACAGTTGCATGTTGCTGCTGAATGATGCCAGTCCACTCACATCACTGCTCTAGTCCTGCTGCTATTGACTGTGCTCCCTTCTTCTTCTTCCTATCTTCTGTCTTGGTCAAGGTCTCAGCTGTAGTCCACTCTTTTTCTGACTCCTAAGTACTTCCTGGCATTCTGATCTAAGGGCCTCTTTTACTGGCTGCCATCTAAAGAGTATTTTGTATTCTTCATGCAGTTCTTGTAGTACTTCAAACCTGTTCCTGATCTGCTCTGGTTTCGGAGTCCTTCAGAAGGCTGATGTTATATTTCACTCTTTTGTCTGACATGTATGGTCACCACCAGGTGATGCAAATTAACAAAGTCAAATTAAATAAAATTAGCCATATGATGATGACACTGATGCAATGCTACATTTCTACAAACCTGATGAAGAAACACAAACATCCTGATCTTGGATGGCCTGAGAGTAAGCCATCTTCAGCAATTTTTCATTTTTTAAGGGATTTCATTAAGGTTGTAGAATTTAGGCATTGTCAATTAAACTGGAAAATGTTGTGCTCACATGTGGCTCAAATAACTGTTGAGTAATTTCAATCCTTTAATTGAGTACATTTTTATTTAATGCATTGAATAAAAACAGACTTTTTTTTTTTCAAATGTTAATAATAATTACTAAATTATTTAGTACCTAGAAGAGCCCAATACTAAAGTATCATTCTTTTTTTTCTAGATGAATTATAATTATAACAATATGAAAAGTATTAAACCATTAGCAATATCAATGCATAAACTGCTAAATAAATATGATGGTATTTATCATAAATATCTCCAAAGGTTCATAAACATTTGTTTATTTTTATTATATATTATCAATTTCAGAGTGTCTATTGTTACACTGGATCAAACTTTTCACATGCTGTTGGCATCTGTTGAGTGGTGTTTGTCTGGTGGAAGATTTTCCTATCAGGATGGACTCGCCATGTAATGTTGGATCCAATGTTCGTTCCCTGATCTGAGAGGATCTGATTCATCTGGAGACAAGATTTCATTGGTGATTAGTGAACGAGATCAATCTACCAATATTCAGGTGTCAGTTAACCCAAACTAAAACTATTTAAAAACAGTTTTGTTAATTTAAATAAATGGTAACAAAAATGATATAAGTTATAGCATATATGCATATATATGCATATAGCATATGGCATAACCATATAGCAGTGCTATATGGCTGTATATCAGCACAGCCATAGGCACAAGTGCTGTAGGTAATCATATCTGTGCTGATATTCAGCAATATCGCACGGCTACAAGTGTGATATTGCGTTTATACAACAGTTCGACGGAACAAGTGTGTAAATGAATACAAATCAACAACGCAGTGTCTTTAGGTCATACTTACAAGGGAGGGGTCCTCAATACATGCAGATATGCTCACGGAATATACGTAAACCTAACAGACCACTCAGATCATTAGGGGCAAGTCAGTTAAAAATACCAAGGGTTCACTCAACACAAGGGGAGTTCGCTTTTAGCTATTATGCCACCCGCAGTTGGAACCAGCTTCCAGAAGAGATCAGATGTGCTAAACACTAGCCTCATTTAAATCTAGACTCAAAACACATCTGTTTACTGAATGAGCCCTGTGCTACGTCCCAATGATTGAACTGTATTTTATGTATCCTCATCTTTTATTCTTTACTGTTTTAATTCAATTTAAATTATTTTTTAATTCATGCTTCAAATATTTAATTCAAAATAATGCTTTTATTTGTGTGATTATTTTATGATTATCCTTTTATGTAAAGCACTTTGAATTACAATTGTGTATGAAATGTGCTATATAAATAAACTTGCATTGCCTTCCCTATAAAAACCCTCTTTTGTGCAGAACTACTTTCTCAGTTTGACAGTTTAACAGCTGAGCTCAAGATCTGTTACTAATTCAAGAACTATTTGCTCTGGAAGAAATAATAGATTAATGAGAGCAAAGACTGCCCGTTAGATTTACCCCAAACTAATTATAGCTCATGTTTAACCACTATAGAGACATCAGAGCCAGCGGCAAATTCCAGAAGATCTGGCCGAGGTGAGGCTGCTCTCACGACTCACATCTCCAAAAACACTGAAGAAGATTTTCAAATAAACGTTATCTTTATTAACAAACCATATATTTGAAGTCTAAACTAGTACATTCTCGCCTAAAAAACTATTAAAACTACATTACGTGACACAAAAACCGTATTATTTTTAAATTATAGTGGATTTGGGTGTCCGCCATGACACTCGCTGTGAGAAATACGGCAGGAGTGACACAAACGGTGAAATGGTGGGAGTGCTGTTACCACTAGAATATCACACCCCTGGAAAAGGCTCTCAGCCAATCAGAGTCGAGGACCAAAAAATAACTGTTGTATATATATATATATATATATATATATATACATATATGGAGTAAAATAAAATTAAAAAAAGAAATCAAAATAATTAAAAATCTCTTTCTATACTGTATATTTAGTACATAACAGTAAGTAAAATATATGTATACATGTATGTTATTGTCACGGGTTGCCAGGGGAAAGGGAGCTCGAAGGAGCACAAAGGAGGCAGATAGTCAAACGAACAGGGTCTTTAATTAATCTTCATGGGAACGTAGGAGAAAACAACCTCTTTGCACGACGGAGACAGGACAAAGAACCTGAGGAAAGGCAGGGCTATAAATACTAAATCAAACGATGGACTAATAGGATGATTAACAAATACAGGTGGAAACTAATGAACTAATCAAGCAACACAGGAAAACTAGGTCAAGGCAGGGAGAGCAGAAACACAGAACATAAACGTGACATATCGCCCCCCTCCCGGAAGGCACGTCCCGCGCCGTAACAGTTCCAACGGGTGAGCCCTGGAGGCTGGTGCAGGGCAGGAACAGGGCGGAGACAAGGAAGGCCTCCAGGGTGGATCAGGGAGTCCGGGGCGCCATGGTGGAGCACGCAGACTAGGAGGCCATGGCGGAGCAGGCAGTTCAGGAGGCCATGGCGGATCAGGGCATTCAGGAGACCATGGCGGATCCTCGTGACCTTAGCTGGCTCAGCCACCACGGCCACGGGCATATGCTATATATGCATATGCACGGGCAATTTTCTTGGTGAAAATTAGGAATTCTGGGGGGCGCTCTGGAGGAGCGGGCACTGGAGGACGCTCTGGAGGTGCAAGGCTGGCTAACTCGGGGGAATCAGGAGATGAAGGAGGGCTGGATGGGACCAACGGAGACGAAGGAAACTCAGGGGACGATGGAGAGCTGGACGGGACCAGCGGAGACGAAGGAAAACTTTCTGGAGCGGATTCTGGGGTGAGGATAGGAGCCGAGAACTCTGGATTTAGCGCCATATCCAGGAGCGCTGAGAGGCATGCTGGAGTGGACTAATAGGATGATTAACGAACACAGGTGGATACTAATGAACTAATCAAGCAACACAGGAAAACTAGGTCAAGGCAGGGAGAACAGAAACACAGAACATAAACGTGACAGTTATGGCTGCAACCACTATAGTATTTATGGTAGTGTAGTTGTCAGCCTCTCGTGCTTTATAAATGGCATAGCATTAGCTCTGGAGAAATGGCGCATGCACGCTGAATAGATAACGCAAGATGGGTGTCTGTGATTTCTTTCTATGAGATAAATAAAAATACACACAATTTTTATTTTTTATATTTGATGTAATACTTTTTA